GAAAGAGCTTACAGAGGGCTGTCCGAATATCCACGCCTCACACTGAGTGCAGGCGGGTAATACTTTTGGAAGGCAGGCCCGTAAATGCGCGTTATGCAGCGTACGTACATAGAAGTGTCAGACTTGCCTGAATTAATGTTCCCTGCCTGGGAGGTGGGCGAGGAGGAGGAGAGGGAGGAGGAGGAGGAGGAGGAGGAGGGAGGCAGAGGACGAGGTTGATGGCACTCCCAGCGCCGGTGCAGCCGATGCTGTAAATCCCGCGGCGTTGAGGACGGGTAAAAGCCTTGAGGAGTTGCTGAAGCAGGAGAAGCTGAGTCAGTGCACGACTTGAAATATACGGCAGAGGTTATTGAAGAGCAAATTTTGGCTAGGAAAATGGGAAAGAGGGTTTAAGGAAAGAAGAAAAGCAATACACCATCAGAAGTGTTTATTCTGCGGCAGTGAGAAGAACCAATAATAAGGTGTGTGCACATCAATTATTTAAAACAATTCCAGCAAATGCAGACTTTGAGCTCCCTCACCACCCCCCAACAAAAATACTTTGAGTGATCAAAATTTATTTTGATTCCCTTTTCTTCAACACCAAGTATTTGTTCAACTGGATTTGCTGTCGTCACGTAGGAGAGGAAAGAAAAAAGAAAAAAAAAAAAAAAGAGCTTGGGCAAGACAGTCAAGTTTTTCCTCAGCTCTATCAAGAGGATGTCTTTCATTTTGAAACACTACAGAAATGATAATAAGTCTTAAAAAAGTTATCCAGTCACTGGAGCGCTGAACACTTCAGAATCTGTGTCGCTTTCGAATCCTTATTTATTTTTGGTAGCTTTCCTAGCTGGGATAGTGATGGAGGAATCGAATCCACAGACAGGTCCACGCCTTTGCAGTCACGCTAAAAGGATGAACTGGAAGGGAAAAAGAGAAAATAAAGACAGTGTAAGCAATGTTGTCTGACAGGGAAATTCCTATCCCAAGAACATACGCTGAAATAAAAAAAAAGTTTCCAAAGCAGCGATTCCTGGCAGATTTATGCAGAGATGTATGAATAATATAATGATGGACAGACTAACTGTTAAAGCTCAGTTTCGTGATCTGCTACCAATGAGGACAAATATAGCGAGGTGATTGTATGAGATTCCAGCTCCTTGAGAAGGAGAATATCTACTGGCAGGGAAGAGATGGCACTGCAATCCGAGAGCTAAACCCGCAAAGCTAAATTGCCTGTGCAGAGAGCTTCTCCTGACACCACCGGCCAACTTAATCTTACTTAACTACAATAATAAAATTTGACACGTAGGCTCTGCTGATTTATATACCTATGTTGTACCTGGTTTACACAGCTGTCACACGCTCGCACACTTATTATAAACATCAATTTTAAACCGATTATAAACGTAATTTGCTACTGCTGGAGACTAAATGACTAGTCTGGACTTGATGTTTGACTTTAAGGTGGCCCAGCTTAGGGGAAAGGAGCCCCCTGCACCTAATTTATTCTCGGCTGATCATTCTGGAGGTGAATAGTGTTTCCCCGTCTCACGGGCTCTGCCCATGGCGTGCTTTTCAGCACGACGGCTCAAAATTTAACGTGAATGGGAAGGAAAAGGAGGAAGGGGAAGGAAAAGGAGAAAAATATTCAGCTTCTGCTTTTCTATTCAGGGCACGTCCCCGCTGCCTTATTATCACATCAGAGAGTCTGGACCCATCAGCGCTTTCATTACGCAACATTTTCCTCCCCTAAGAATTTATAATGCCGCCATCTTAATTTGTTTTGGGGACACTCGGCAGTCTGATTCCCTATCAGAGGGAAGATTTGTTTTATTAGAAAACATCTATGAGCAGTTAATCCAGCAACTTTATTTTAGATCTTGAGAGGTCAATGCATAATTTAGAAGTTTTTGGATTCTGTTCTGATTGCTTCTCGTTCGAAAACAACCTCGATTATACAAGCTCAGTTTTCTGAGGCCAAAGTCCTGCTTTAATCACCAAATACGCTGCCATAGACCCCGACACCTGTGTCGGACCGCGGAGTTTTCTGTTGCTGGTAGCCGGTGAGGTGGGAGGACGGAGCAGAGCGGGACCTGCGCGGTAGGGCGAGACCAGAGATGGTGCAGCCCCGCAGGGTGCTGGAGGTGCGGGACGGCTTGCAGCTCCAACCACGGCACGGCGCTCACCGAGAGGGGTGCAAGGAAGAAATCACCCTAGAGATGGATTTCCAGCAGTGACAGGGCTACGTGATGCTTGAACCACACGGATTGTGCCTTATGAAACTGGCTCTTGGGGGCCGACCGGGGTCTGCTGGAATTAATAGGAAGACTCCCACTGGTCTCCGCAGGCCAGGTCAGGTCCTCGGTGCGGCAAGGTTCCTTCAAACCTCTGCGGGAATCCCTGTTTCCAGGGGAATGGGAAGCAAAGTGCAGCCGCAGCCCTCCAGTAAGTAAAACTCCTATTGATTTACAGCCTGCACCACATGGATGTAATTTGGAGATGAAGCCTGTAGCTTATGAATAGGAAAGAAGAGTCAGCATTATCCTTCCCAGCTACGGCCCCCTTGCCATGAATAAATGTTTCATTTTTATTGCATTTGTTTTTTGCTGGTCTTTAAGAATCCCAACAATTACGTGGCCAGCGATATGAAAGGCATAAAAGAAATTGAAATCATTTACAGCTAGTCCACAAAGGCTCCTCTATAATACGGTGGTCCAGAGAAATGCTGCGTTGATGGGTCCTCTTACAAGTGGAAGGAATGAAACTTTGAAATACTGTTATTTCATCTTTATATGACACATAATGAAGTCAATTCAAATGTCAGTTTTCAATGGAACACGAGATCTCTCGGAAATGTGATGCCCATTCAAACTTAAAAAATAACAGTGAGGTATAAAAATATCCAGTGTGTTTTAAGGACATGATGCTATTACAGAGCTGAGAGTTGGAAAGACTTAATTCTTTTTTTTTTTTTTTTCCTAAATGAAAATCTAAGAACAGGAAATAACCTTCCAGGTTTTACAGTATTTATCTCAATTTTTTGAAAAACTCCTGAAACCAATTTAATGCTTATTTAGCTTTTAATCAACAAGTTATGAAGTCATCTTTTAATTAATGATGAGCCAAGTCTAATGCATTTTAACAGCTAAATTTTTTTTCAAATGCCTGATTTAGATACTCTTCTCTAACCAAGGCTTACTTATCCAAAACTCTTACCAGACTAGTCATCTTTGGCATTATCAGTGCTAAAAGAGTGTGAATTTGCAATAATCTATGTAACGGATTTCCCTTCCCCACCCCACCCCCCCCCAAAAAAAAAAAAAAGGCCAAAAACCACCACAAAATGTTCCTTGTATTGGGCATTTAGTTTGCCCTAGCTCCGTTTGAAGAGTCCTCCTGGTCAAAATATAAGAACTAGACAAATTACTTTAGGAAAACAAAATCAAATCCTCAGACCCTCCCAGCTCCCTCTCATCTTCAGCAGCTATAGCTGTGAAATAAAATACCATCTCCTTTTCAGCTCACCTAATTTTAGACCTATACAACTGAGCTCTTCCCCTGAACAAGTTGTCTATTGTCCTTTTACAATCAATAGAGAGGAAGAGGCAAGATTAATCTCACTCATTTAAGAAGTCTGCTTTGTGATGAGATGAATGGTGTCCTAGAAGCGCTATCTCCCTTCATCACCTATAAAATAAAGCAGATGTCTCACTTATGTGAGATGAATCCCATTTCAATATTTAAATGCAAACATGAAGCTGGGCAACGCTTGTCTTTTCAGGCTTTTCTCTATGTTTGTGTATGTCCTGGTGCAGCTCTGGTGGGGTTGAGCACGTCGTGCTCCTGCGGCAGCCAGCTGGGCAGGGGGTGCCTGTCCTATTCCCAGCCCTTGAGAAAAAGTGTTACAAGGCTACAACGCCTGAACGGTATTTGTTCCCTCGGCTTACACTTCCCAGCGAGCTTCTGCCCAGTCTTGTTGACTTTGCCCACACAGATTTGAGAATGCGGCACAGTTCCTGACATCATATTTTTGGTAAACCACACTTTCGTTTACCTATGGGCACAAAAAGAAGATACTTAAAACTAAGTGTATGTCTGATCTACATACACAGTAGGTAGATATGCAGGCATAAAAATACATGCATCATATATATGTATGCATGATATATGGTGGGTATGCTTGTCCTTTCAACTCCATTAAAGTCTGTAGAAAAAGTTTGTTCCTCAACAGACTGTAGTTTTCACATCTTGGAGCTCTGTCACAGCTGCTGTAGGAACCCAACAGATGTGAGGAAAAACCCTATCAGGTGGGAGAGTAGCCGCGTTCAAAAGACAGGCAATGGGTTTCACTGGGATCTGGGAGGAGAGCCACCTCGCTGCCTGGCACCGCAACAACCCACACAGCTCCAGTGAATCAGGACGTGTCTTGTTGTGAAGGGAAGAAAAAAAAAACCAACCCCACAACAGAAGAGCGAGCAGAGACTGTCATCAGTTATTACAGGAATCCCAGGGAAGCAGGGTAGGTGAGAATTTAGCCCATCGCTTTCTCTGGCGAAAGCAAGGATGGTGCGTTAATACTACGTATATCATAACCGTTAGGGATCCCGCCTGCAAGGTGCTGAATATCCCCCTATAAATGACAGGAAAACTTGCAGGGTTGGGGGAAAAACACAGCGAAAATGAACATGGAAAAAACCCCAGCGGGTGACCAACCTCACAGTCCAGCGAGAGATGTTCCCATCCTTTGCTCGTGTCCTGACAGAGTGCAATTTGTCATGTACACTGAAGTCAATCCGTCCTACACACAGTTTCTGGTACTTCCTGGTGAACAGAGGAACTAGGCTATGCACGAATCCCGGTCTGGATAAAGAGTAATGCCACGTAGCTCCGTATTATTTCCTGGAAGCTGACGAAAGGGGTCGATGCTAATAACTGTCAGCGCGTGCATATAAACAGTTGTCGGGTTCGGGTTTTTTATTCTTTTGTGGTTTGTTTTTGTTTGTTTGTTTGTTTTTAATAGAAAGAGCGTTATTCATGAGGTCCTCTACTGACGATCACAAGTGAGTCGGAGAAGCAAGGGGTTTGACGGTGAAGGAAATCGTCCTTACTGGGGTCCCCTGCCCTTGGGTGCTACCTGACCTTCTGCAGCTCCTGTCTCAGCCAGGAGGGCAGGGGCTGCCCCAGCCTGTGCAGCAGCTTGGACAACTCCACGTTGTGGTCTCTGTAGTAGCTCGACAGAAACGCTCGAGACTGAGAAGGGAGAAAAAACCAACAACAAACCAAACCAACAGTCAAGGAAGGAAACCCATCCGATGGCAGATTTTGGCAGGTGCTCCCACCTGGGAGCTATGCACTGCTCCCAGCGGGGCTCTTAAGAAGGGGGAATTAATCTCCTGTCATTCAAAGCTCATTAAAAGTTTCTGATTTTTAAAACTATTCAGCTAGTGAAAATTTAAAAAAAAAAAAAAACAAAAAGAAAGAAATGAGTGTATTTAGTTTAGGAGTCAAATACAGGGTGAATATTAAAAAATGTGAAGTTAAAGCTCTGGAAAGCCCTTACCTCTTGGTCCATTGGTGGGTATTTTCGACCTTTGCTTTTTCCCAGGCACTTTGTTTTCCCTCCTTCCAATAACTGGCACCAAAAGCCTTTCTGAGGGTCAAACCTATAGAGGATTATACTTTTTTGAAAGACCTCACTACAGAAGAATCTTTCAGCTAAGACATCAGTTTTAGCCAACAATTATCGCTGCACGCATCTCTCTAGATGACTGAACTACTGAGGCCAGAGTGGGAGACAGCTTTCCTCTCTTGCGAAAGCTCTGGGAATTTATATTTTCCACAAATTTGCCTTGGGAGTGGCTCGAGGCAAGAAGTTTTTCACATTGTATTTTACCTACACTAGCTAATTTTTATTCTACTTGTCCAGCATAGAGGGTACAAGTTTTAAGCGTTGATCTACAGGATGCCAGTCAAAGTCCTGAGCCTCAGTCTCAAGGATCTTACACCGCCCCACTCCAGACTGTGACTCGTTTTATTGTCTGCTTTTGGTCAGAGATTTTATTCGTGTCAAACTGCTCCATGTATCCCTGCAGGATGCTGACGTTTTGATCAATTGACCCTTGAACAAAGAACGTTTTGTTGAAAAAAAATTACTAATCGTCTCGTTTCCTGGAATTAGATGCGCCGTATTCTCAAGGGCATTGTCGGCTGTGCTCAAGGAAAGCTCTCCATATGGCCAGTCGGAGCTGATGCTATTGTAGGTCAGCATCGTCAAGGTGAGAGCGGTTAAAAAGGGCAAGCGGATCTATTATTTGCTGACTTCAACAGGCATAGGCTCAATCCCTAATGTCTATGTACACAGAAAAGTATGCGATTGTTGCATGACTACGAAACGATGAGAAATATAGTACTGAAATGGTTTCTGTTGATTTTGAGTGAAATAAGCAGTGTTCAGGTCTACTGAAAGAATGGCTGGTTGGTTGTTGATAATTTAACGGCACTTGAGAAGGTGGCTGCTCCATATCATTAGATCTAAATACCATTTTCATTCCAAAGATGGCATTATAGCATAAACACTGTCTTAGCAGTCTTATCTGAAATACGCAATTTGATCTCGATGTCTAAAATTCAAAGATAAAGGAATTTTAGATTAAGGCTTTAAAACACGTAGTCACTAAGGAATGAACAACACGCAGCGTTAAGTTTTGAATTTATTGCTGTGGGACTTGCAGCATGCATAAAACATTGAAAAGGTTCGCGTTTCTGCTATTCAGCAGATGTTTGAAAAGGATGAAGTATAATTGGCTGGAACACGGAGTTAATTAGTTACAGACTACCTTTTTGCCCTGGCTCTATCCGTATGACACGGGTGCACCTGCAATTTGCTGCTGTACATGAGCGAACTAATTTCCGGAGAAGGGTGAACCTTCTTCACATTTTTTTTTTCTTGCCCAGACTATTACTACAGGCCTGACCCTTGTTTCCTAAATTCTCTCAGTAGCTGTATCAATTAAAAATAAATAAATCATTGATTAAATGGATATATCGATGATGGATTCATTTCCACTTTGGCCTTTTCCATCTGCTCATTGCATGGTGAAGTACTTCAGCTGGCTTGCACTAATTTCCCAAGAGAAGCAGCAATATAGTGTGCTGGGTAACAGGAAAACTGCAAAACTATGCCCCAAACAATATTTCTGCCTCAGAAGGAGCATACTGAGCATTATTAAGAATATGTGCAAATTTGGGAAGGGGAAAAGAGTGTGAGACAGCTCGGGCTGAATTCAACCCATTGCGTTCAGGTATTATGAAACTCTCAGGAGTCCTGAAAACGTAATTGTGCACAATGGAAGTATTTATTTATAAATGGTGATAGCCTTAAGGCAAAAGTTACAAGTCAGCTTTTATAAAGCAGTCAGCAGAAGCCTTTCCTCCAGGCTCGGTTATCTTTTCTTTTCTTCCCTTGCAGAGTAAGCCTGTGGGAGATGCGGGGTTGAACCCAGACACCCGTACGCCCACCCCACCCCTCGGGAAGTCAGGACCCGATGCCCGAGGTGGGGATGGCACCTGCAAGGGGCTGTCTGCACCCAAACCCGGACAAGAGAAAAGATTGACTTAAATGTACGCTCCCCTAATCCTGTCTTTTCCTTTCCCTCCTGTTGTTCACACGAGGGAAAATGAGGGAAATCTCCCCTGTGAGACTGGACGTGGAGCTGCCTCTGTGGGCAGAGCGTGGCATGATGAGCCGGGATGGACAAAGCGGCATTTTGGCTGCCCTTTGCCAAAACCAGTCTCTGTCCTGCATCCCTCCTTCGCTGCCTGCTGAGAAAAACAAAGGGAACCACTGGTCCACGCTATGCTGGCCCTCATGACCGTGAGGATGTTGGGCATGAAATACATCTTCCTAGCAGTCAGTGGAGCTTCGGTAGGGTCATCTGTTGATTAAGAGGAAAGGGATCCCAATGTCTTTCTATTGATGGCATTATGTGTAAAAGACTTGCAACATCAGTTGATTTTCCCCCTTTGTTTTCACTACTCTAATAAAAATTGCAGGTTTTAGAATCATCGAATGGTTTGGGTTGGAAGGGACCATGAAAGGTCATCTAGTCCAACCCCCCTGCAATGAGCAGGGACCTCTTCAACTCCATCAGGTTGCTCAGAGCCCCGTCCAACCTGACCTTGAATGTTCCCAGGCATGGGGCATCTACCACGTCTCTGGGCAACCCGTGCCAGTGGTTCACCACCCTCGTTGTAAAAAATGTCTTCCTTTATCTAGTCTGAATCTAGGTCCTCTTTAGCAGCCGGGGCTCTCGCTAAGCTGGCGTGATGTGCGCTTCTCTCCAGATACCCGAGCCCTGCCTCTGTCTCCCCTCTGCAATCTTCCCATGGCTCTGATTAGTACCTTCCTCCTGCCTGGGTTCATTTTACTTTCCTGTAAGACGCTCACGTAATTACTCAGGGTGATGAACCTGTTGCTCACTAGTGTTTGCAGGACTGGGTCCTTAGGCTGCTTTGTGACAACTTTAAAAATGAGTGGTATACAGTTATTAGGCAGTAATGACTAGGAACGATCCTATGCAATCTTTTTTACTTTGACAGTCCTACCATAAAGCAACTACATTGTTTAATGCATTTTTCTCTTCCATCCTAAATCCATACAGAAGCGTGTGCTTCCACAGCACATTTGCATTCTTGATGCCTCTAAACAGTGACTGCATAATTTTATAGATCTGTTTACAATCCATTTTTCCTGTCCAAACAAATATGAGAGGCCAAATTTTTTCCTGGTGGGTGACTCCACCGACTTTAATTTAGTTACAGAAAGGAAGATATATGCACGTGGGTGTGTATTTTTAAAAACCTAGCAGAAGGCACTGCAGATGTGCAGCAGCAGTTGTTCAAACATCAGTAGTTCAGCTGTGTATTCAAACCGCTCCTCTATTTCATCCGCTTTGGAGACCGATGACTTAAAAAATGACATTCTGAAATCCCGAATTTTTCCTCTAGAAAAAGATTTTGGCAGAGCAACGTTCTGAAGACTCAAAGAACAACGAGCACTCAACTCTCACTTGATACCTATTATATAAATAACCATAATCCACCCAGCGGAGGAAACATTAAAAAATAATGATAAGCAGAGAGGAGGCAGTGTGGGGTAGGTGGAAAGTCCGTGGTCTCATTTCCCCACAGTTTTCCTGGTAGCAGGCTGCGGGGAAGGGGAAGTACAGGCTTTTCTACTTCCCACCCCGCCGTGCAGGCTCGCGCTGTCTGCTTGCACACTGACTTGGAAAAACCTCCACCCCAGTGCCAGGCTTCCCAGCCCACGGACGTCCCAGGGCTCTCCCAGCCCAGCGCTTCTGGCTGGAACGAGCTGATGCTCCTCAGACGGAGACGCTCAGTGCAAAAGCTTCTTACAATTTTCTGCCAGACTAGGAGGGGAGAGAGAAATTCAGCCCACTCCCGCCCCTGCAGAGACTCTGCCTTCCTGCGGGGAATTGGGAAATGTCAGAGAGAGAGTGCCCCACAGGCCATTAATCCCCTTGCACGGGGAAAGCCTCACCCGCCGGGTAGCGAGGATGAGAGATGTGATCCAGGCTCATCGCGGCTGCCTTAGCTGCCTTTGCTAGATCCCAACCAAAGACTGTGGGAATTCAGTCCAAGGGCTTTCCCTAAGTTCGGGGGACCTTGATCTGGGCTCCTGCAGAGCACCTGCAGTTTTGGCACCGACACTCCAGGCCACGAACAGTCAGGCTGCTCGGTCTGAGGGTTTTGTGCTTCACAGGCAAATACGAGCTTCTCCCCACGCTCCAGGTGCTGCGCTTCAGCCCGGCACTTCCAGGTTAGGGATCTGCTCTTAGTAGCTTCTAATTTTAAGTGTACGGACTAAATTCTTCTGTGCCATGTGTCGGGCTACTACCACCAGGTAAAAGGTTGGCAGAATTGGCTCAACCATCTGTGAAAATGGGATTAGGGAGTGAGATATTTGGTCCCTATTAAAAGCAAACAATCAAAGAAAGCATGCAAATAGATGAATCCTATCATACTGAGTGCTTCTAACCCAATCTCTGTCATTAGACTCCAATATCAATGTGATAAAAATGTTGAAGCCAAACTTTTCACACCTGACACAAGACTGTCATAAGGTTCAACAATCTGATGTGCAAAGGTGTGCTGAACTCTTACATGCACAACTCACATCAACGGAACAGATACTTTACACAGTGAAAGCAAAACTAGGTACCCTGAGACAACAAGTCCTGGGCATCTCTGGTCGAACGCTCAAACTTAGCAGACATTTTTTACATGAATCTGGGCCTTTGTTCTACGTCTAATACAAAAGCCGGAGCAGTCATTTGTTCTGTAAGTTGTGCAAAGCAGAGATGGCATGTGGAAATGTATGCAATCATCCAATTAAATTCTGTAAGGTATTATACGTATGCAAGTTCAAGGAAAACCGGATGGGTGTTAAATATGACTTTAAGGAAACCCCAAGCTTTGCAAAATTATCATTGTTGTAATGTGGGGTTTGTTTGTTTGTCATTAATGCCCAGGTGTTCTTGGTAGGAGGGGAGGTACACCGTGATCCCATAGGGCAGATAATAAAGGAACAGACTCACGTTAGAGCTTCAGAGTAATTATAATGAGGAGAGACTCCAAGAAACTTCTGCACTTCATCCATCACGGTAGCTGGGTCACTTCTCAGCTGCTGTCCATCAATAATAAGCAACTGTAGGCGTAAATATAGTAGCTATTTAGAAACAGGACTAAGATTAACAGAAGAATAACATTATTTCCCTTCTGTGACAACATGAATTTAAGTTAGCATGTGACTTTGTACAGTGCTAATAGCAATCATATGGATGAACTTCTTTTTAGATTTACTTTTTACTTTATTATGTTGAATTTGTACAAGTGGGCACCTTGTAACTCTGTGTGTGGACATCCTTCAAACGCAAGAGTTAACTCTCACAAGCCAAACCCGAGTCTCAGACTTCTGAGAAAAAGAGATAAGGAAGGAATGTAAAAATACTGTTGAGGTTTACAACATGTCCATAGAAAAATCTGGCATGGAATAAGTAAAATAACAAAAAGTTCATATATATCTTAGAATTAAATGTTCAGAAACTATACAATTACCTGTTCAACAGTGATATTGTGGCAATTTATTTGAAACGTACCACCAGCCTATCAACCGTATAGACCTACAAAATTGTTAGCAAAGGGTTTTTTTGTTTTGTTTTGTTTTGTTTTTAATTAAAGATTGATGTGATGTAAAGGTACATTAACCTCCACAAGCAAATGTTAAGACAATATATCAAAAGTCTCCTGGAGTACCAAGCAGTATTACTAATAACTATTCTGGGCAGATGTGTTTTATATTTATTGTGAAGGCTTATAATGAATTATTAAGTTTTTGAGTGCAGAGGCTGAGTGAATGCACATTACTGAGTGCCCATTAGTAAGCACCGTGAGTGCACTCGCTGTGTGCACCTTATTAAGAATGAGTGCATTTTGTTGTGTATCTTGTAAATTTAATCACTATAACTATGAAACATGAGTGGTTACAAGGAATATGTCAATGTGCCTCTGAATGTTTAATAAGAGGGCCGCATTCGCTCTTCGCCATGGCAGGAAAAGGAGAGAAATCTTCGTGAGAGGTGGGCAGCAGCCCCGGCTGAGGGCAGAGAAGGAGGTAACAGAGCACGGGATGTTCAGCGCCCTTTGCATGCTCCAAATTTGCCGGGACAGCCCCTTCTCCTTCGGAGGATCAAGCTGGGACGTGGTGGTGATAAGGAGACGTGCCCCGCTTGCTCCTAGGGCACTACTGCCCGGGGACGGCCCTTGCTGCAAGCTCGGCTGCTCTAGGCAGTTCTCCTTCCCCATTTATGAAAGAGTAGAAAGGCCAGAGATGAAAGAAGAAAGTAAATGACTGAGACTTTCTCCTTTCTCCTGGAAATGGGATTGACCCGCTTCTCCTCTTTGTAGTGCAGCTGAGACTGTATAAAAAGAAAAGTGAGGATTGCAAAAAGACAGAGCTGCTCTTTATTTGTGTTTTCCCAGGTCCCTGACTAAATAGGCGACACTCGGTTCTACCTCCTTTCAGCAAAATTCTGTCCCCTATCGAGCAATCCCTGGAGATACCTGTTCATTATGCTTGCTCATTAAATACTCTTTTACAACTTTTTCTTACAGTAGGTGGATGTATGAACTAAGGACCACGTCCACAGGTAAAGAGTGCCCGTGCATATATTTTGTAGTACTAAAATGTTTAAGTTTATATCTGTAAACAACCTTTTTAGTAATGGGAATATTCTTTAGGTCTATGTGTTTCCGTAAATTTTTCACAGGAAAGATTATGCAAGACAATTAAATAAAACGTCTGAAGGAAGATGGGGCAAAAGAAGGAATTTCTGCTCTAACACTGAGAAAGGCTAATTCCATATCAGGATCAAACAAATGTGAAATTTTCTATGAAAGGGAGTGAGTGGGAAGCGGCATGAAATTTCTGTTTAGAAAAAGCCCTGGCATTTTCAAAATGAATTTGTCAAATCTTCCCACAATGTCTCATGCTGCAGCTGCTTGTTTCTTGGGACCCAGAAACCTTGACAACCTTGGCTGATCCTGAAAGGAACCCCCAAAGTCCCCCATCAAGCCCACGTGGCCACAGTTCATAGCGTTTTCCTGTTGCATCTTTACCATCAGAAGACAGAAAAATGAACACACTTCTGCCAAATATCCTGATCTTGTCAAATCTGCATTGCCTAACAGCTAAGAGTTCCAGTGGGAAATATCCTATCACCTCTAATGATGAGGCCATTCTCATTTGGGGACTTTAAGAGTTGATGAGCTCGGTGAAACAATGGGGTGGAAATTACCTGTGAAGCAGGGTAATGAGTTAACCATCTTTCGATATGGACAGCATACCATCCGGGTGTCAGGCATCTCTTCTGGAGAGTCCTTATCTCCGAGGGCGCCCAATGGCTGGACGTAATGACTTCATAAAAATTGAATTTCAGAGCAGCGGGGTCCTCGTGAGATCGCTGATGCTAACGGGAGATATTTAGACACGTGTCACAAGGATGCTGAAGATTAAGCTGTAAGCCTCCCGGAGCTGTCGGGAGGGCTGTGCGGGCACGGCCAGCCCCCCCCCGTAGTCCGCAGCAGCCCCTCGGCTCCCCACCGGTGCCACTTCTGCCACGCAGGAGTCGGGGTCAGGGGGAAGGAAGCAGGATGGGCCACCATTCGGTCAAGGGCCCTCCTGGGACAGGTGGGAGGGGAGCTGAGGAGCCAAATTCTGCCAAAGTAGGCACAGGGTTTTTTTTCACTGCTTTGCATCTCGCAGTAGCGGTTGTAAAGGTGCAAATGAGATATTAAAAAGGGTGCAAACTGCAGCCCTATAGGCCATGTTTTACTCCTTGCAGAACTCGTAATAACAGTATCAGAAATGGTATATGTTATGCTTATTGCAACATTATTAATTTGTGTCTTTTTTAACACTGCTTTTAGTATTTCCTTTATCTGTATGACTACACCATATTTTACATGCATGCTTAAACGTCTCTTTAAAAATAGGTTTTTTGAAATAGTGCAGACTTTGTTATGGAAAGGTGTGGGCTCAGTAAAAGGCAAGAAAGAGCATCCTAGAGTTTCCTCAGAAAAACAATAAGCTTTCCTTCGTTTCCAAGGAGAGAAAAAAAAACCCAAAAACAAAACAGCCCAAACCCCAACTCTCCAGGCACAGCTCTTTTTAACTCTTTGGAAACTTTAGACCACACTGTACGTGTTTGTGCACCACCGCATATTGCTCAGCTTACACGCTGGAGGATGGGATGAGGTACCAGATTCTCAGCATCGAGAGATCTGATTTTCTAGCCAGGCCATGCTCATTTTCCCCCCTGCATCTCCCTAGGCGAGGAGCACTGCTTTTCCTCTCTGCAGTGTCAGCTGTAATTGAGATTAAACGGTTTGTTTACAGCTGGTGGCAGCTCTGTGCTGAGAAGTTTCATCATTTATGACACTGGTGTCACAGGTGCCAACTGCAAAAGCTGGCATTCAGCATCCTTGCACTTCTACACAGCGCAAATGCCTTGCAATAAATCCCGTTCTTGCTCAAGGACACAAATTCTCACTGTTGCCCATCATTCCCTGCCATTGATTTCACTGTCCGTTTCTCGAAGGCGAGGTCCGTACCTGGTACCAGGAATACGCCCGATCGGATGGGTCGATGAGGATGGTGATGATCTTGGCCTTGGGGATGAGGGAAGCAGCTCGTTTAGGGGCTTCCTCAGAATGGAAATAGTTGGCACTTTTCTCAAAGAGGAGGTCAGTGGTGATGTTGGAAGGAGTGGGGAAGAAATCCATGTACCTGGGAGGTGAAGAAACTTGTTACAATTAGCAGTATCACAAAAGGGTCGTATCCCTGTGCTTCCCATTTCATGGTAGGCGAAAAGATGAATTTTCGGACGTAATTCTCATGAAGCAAAACTGAATTTCTCAGCTTACTGCAGAACTGGAATAGTGGGAACACATCTTGGCTCTTACATGGTGCTGGTAATAGCTAAAGCCTCCACGAAGTCAGGTAATTGGGCTTTTCCTTTGATGGAATGAGATTTTTGCTAATAAGTTCACTATCAAAGGGATATCTTTCACCAGTTTGGAGTGAGTTCAGTTTTAGCTGCAGAAAAAACTGGGAAAAGCTTCAAAATGTCAACCATTGAATTTTAACATTGTTGAAATATTTCATTTTGGAACTGACAAATCTTTTCTTTTAGACGTTTTCAGAATGCAAGATTTGAATTTTGGCTTTGAATGGTCTTTTCCACTTAAAATTGATTGGAAGTAAAAGTAAGTAAAGCAGAAATTTCAACTGAAAGGGTGAAGAATTCAAACAAAGCAAAAGGTGAAATTGTTTTAGAGGTATTTTTCAGTCCCTTTAGTTTTGCTGAACACTCCGGGAACTTCCAGTTTTGGTGGGGCTAACTGGTTTTTGTGTCCTCTCTATAGAAATGAAGTATGTGGGACCTCACCCTGCACACAGGACCCTACGGACTTTTGAACCTGCAGGCCAATTTTGGTGAAGCGTGGCAGAAGATGTCTCCAAGAGGCCAACCTCTTCCTCTACGTGTTGTGCAGAGGGTTGCAGAGGCGACACCACCCTCCCATCACCGCTCTTTCTTGGTACTACACCATGTACTCTACAATTGGTAAGCTCTTTCTTAACGCATCATGGAAAAACAAACACTGAGTGTTTCTTTCCCTTTATTTTTCGTGACACCTTGCACCGAGAAGCTGGTCTCGTAGTCGCGGGGACAGCCGGCTTTTATCGGTCAGCCTCGTTTGCTCCGCACGCTCTCCATGCCCTACGCGGGCAAGGAAAACCGCTCAAGATTAATCTGTTTCTGTGTAGTGTGATGTTTGTCTTATATTTCAGTTTTCACACAAGGATGAGAACTACTATTCCCTGTGGAAACGCAAACCTTACAAAAATGCTTTTCTTAAGCAAAAATAGTAAAAGCAATATTGAAACTTGTGATAGGAATGCCAACTGAAATGCTTTAGGGTGTGGGGTATTTTTCTCATGAAGAGAGGACTCAAATCTTACTTAATGAAAAGCTGCTTTTGAAGAAAAATAGTATAAATCAGAATAGATACAGTTATGAAAAGACAGGGATGCTGTTCAGCATGAAGACACATCGTAACTGAGCTGGCTATTGTATTCATTTGTGAAAAAAAAATAAGAAAATTGTTACTGTAATATCTAAACAAAATTAAGGACTTGATTAAATGTCCCATCATTATAAATTAGTTTCTCTTTCTGTCTGATAATGCCAAGCATAACAAATTCATCCAGCAATTATGTAGATGTCATACATGCTTCCGTAATTGGTCCATTGTGATCTACCACGTATCAATAATGAACGCTTCTTTTTTGTTATTCTTCTTACCAGTCAATTCCCTTGTGATAGTTGTTTCCGTTGAAGAACTGAACTTCTTCAAAAGTTTTTGGACTTGGGAGATTACTGATAATGGAAGGATGCATCAGAAGAAATAAGTAAAGCGCTGTTGTTCCTGCGACAACAAAAAGATGCCATTAGGAAATAGAAAAAACAAACCCTTTGACTTCATTCGTACAGGAAAGTACTTTAAATCAATGCACGCTGAGATATACAGGAAAATTAGATTACCTTTTACAAGAAAGTTGCCTATTGATGAAAGGCCCACGTACGCAGAAGGGGCTTTCAGAGGGAGGGGGGGAGTACGTGCAGGCTTCTCCGCTCATCGAACTTTTCCTATTTCCAAACTCTGAATTCTGCTCTCTGATGCAAGCACGGTATTGCTGCTGCTGACAGCGCTTGCTTGACTGTGTGTTTAACCATTGAGGGAATTGGGCCTGAACACATTTGGTTTCAAACCATTTATGTTGCACAAAACTTTTCCAAAGCACTAATTGTGAGATTATGCTTTTGCTGCTCCCAGAACTGCGCTTTTGTGCTCCGTGTCCTTTTTCTGGGGGGGTCTGCTATTGAGGAATAAATTGTCTAATTCAATGCTGACAAACCTGTATGTCCTAAGTATGCTCTAAAATCCCAGTAACAGTACTTTTTTGTTATTTGTTTGACAAAAACAACTGGAAATTTTTATATATATATAAAAGGATATATATTTTATATATATGTATTTATTGTCAATGAGGGTCTCAAATGATGTTGAAATAATTTGTTAAAGAACTTAATAACAATCTTAACACAGGGCAGCCTGACAGCATGGGGCTTTTTTGTGGTGAATGAATGCATTTTTGGTATAAAATCAGTTGTCCCTTTCTGTTGGCAGGGAAGGAGTTTCTGTCTGAATCCCGCAGGGATCGGGAGTGCACCGTCTCTCTGGCAGGGAGATGGCTTCAGTTTACAGCACACAAATACACAGATACAAAACAGGGAGCGGGGGAGTTACAAATTCATTACTTCTTACCTGTTTTCTGGGGTCCTATCACAAGAAATTTGGGTAGGTGGTCACAAGTTTTGTCTCTGGACCAAATATCCCTGTGTCGTTTGTCATCACACGGATTCTGAAGAAGAAAAGGCAGTTGTGTACATCCCGCTGGGGCTATCCCCAATGTTTGCATGCACGCGAGTCTTTGCAGGATCTAAATGTTATGCATTAACACCAGGGCCTTACAGTAAGTAGTAAAATCCCACATTTCCTCGTAAGAGTTTACTCTGGACAGATACTGAGCGCTCTGGTACGGATCCGTGGAAGCATTCAGGTACAGGGACCACACTCCTGGGTATCCTTCAGTGCCAATCCTTCCAGGGGTCCCAGAGAACTCCGTTAACGCTACACAGTTGTGCAAATCCCGGAAGGATTGGTGTCAAACTCCACACCCTGTGAGACTACTGCATTTCCTTCTCTCTGTTAGGCTTATTTCATAAACTCAGAGTCCATAGGCACGTAGGTAGGCACGTATGTGGTCCCTTTGACTAAAATTCTATGTGTATATAATGGTTTTGCATGACTGAGGATTAAGTTCAGTCATTAGGAAAAAAAAAAAAAGAAAAGAAAAAGAAGAAAAAAAAGATTAAAACATTGATTTAATCAAGTTTTCATTTGAGGTTAAAATGGAAACCTCTGTTTGAATAGCTTCAAGGCATTACTTACTTAGGTGACAAAATGGTTTCAGATGCATAGGACTTAATGCCAATTTTAATTTACCTAAGAACCCGAAAGGAAGGACAAAATAGAAATGTGGGATATTATTCATCTCCTTATCTTTCTACTACCTATGAATGCAAAATTAAAACGTGTGAACAAAAGGCCCCGCAGAAAAGGTTAGGACTGACTGCTCTTTAAAGCGGTTATCGTACAGATACTGCTTTTGCATAGTATTGGCTGGTAATAGAAGACAGAGATTGCTAGTGAATAAAGTTAACAAAATATAATGGAGAAAATAATTAACTGATGTGAATCGCTGCAGCTCCACTAAACTCAATGGAAATATTATAGATTTATACTTCTTTTGCATCTGGGCCAAAAATAATAGGGAAATTTTCTGCTCCGTTTTGCCAGGGAAGCCCAAAATAACTGCACGGATCTCCGTGGTGTCACTCTGGATTTATGCCTGCATAGCTAAACGCGCAGCGTGGCACATCATATTCTGAACAAGAGAAGAGCCAGATATCTGTAAGAATGATTAGGAAATTACAGTGTTGAGATTACAAGCAGCACTACTGTGCATTTGAAACAGAGATAGAAAACAGTCGGTCTGTGCAGAAACCCTTTTCCATTCTTAAACTAGCCGCCCATTTTGTGTTTGCTGCGCTGACCCCTCCTGCCTTCCCTTTTCCTCGCTGTTTCATGGAAGGGGGTTCAGAGGGTGAGAAATCCTCCTTGTAGCTGCGGTGATCCAACATTAGTGATTCCCCGTTAAGGGGTGCAACGAATCCGCGTCGTTTGCTTTGAGATAGCTCTCGCCACCGGCTGGCTGCGAGCATCTTACCGAGAGCGCAGCGCCATCAGCGAACACAATGTGATGCATCAGCAGAACCGCAGGCGGGAGGGACGGGAAAGGAAGCTTTCTCCCACATAAATGGCGATTAGGTGCTTTTAGCATGTCTGATTTGGGGAGAGGGGAAGCTAATCCAGTTCTAGTCAAAAGCAGTGGTCTCTCAAAAAAATTTAAATAATCTAAGAAGGCATGGAGGAAGAAATAACATATCTGAACATGAAGTAGGATTTTTAATTTTTATACTTTTACAGGAAAAGATTCTTATTTCAACAAGTGGATTGTAATCGGAGGAGGAAGAGGATGTGACATTACCTGCCAAAGAGGGTCCGTCTGCTCCGGGAAGAGCTCAAAGTACTTCTGAGCCAGCTGAACTGGGGGCAGCGTCTGCAGGTTCAGGTTCGTCGAGCTCTTAACAAAGTTGGCTAGGTTCGCAAAGGTGTATAAGCCCAGGCGGTCGTTCCCGTAATTAGACAAATGGGTCATGAAGATGCTGATCTGGAAGCAAGAGAAACCCTTCAGTCGCAGGACATCAGGAGATGGCAGCGTCTGGCTGGAAGGGCAGGCACGGGGGGCCCGGGAGATTTGCTGAACCCTTTCTCCCCCACCCAAAACCCAAGGAATAACGTGAAGAATGTATCTCCCAGTATTTGCTTTGCAGGAGGTGATCAAACTCAGGTCCGTGGCTGCAAAGGCCTGGTTTATCTGTAGACTGTCATTATGAAGATGCTATCAAACTGAGTGTTGTTACTTGACTGATTGACTCAGTACGCTGACCTAAGATAGGATGCGCAATGACACTGGAATTTAATTACACTGTTATCAAGAAATAATATCGTGGTGGTAACTGAACAGTGCATATTTCCCTTCTTTTTCAGCACGCTCTCTGAAGTTGGCAATCGATGACATGCAGCAGATTGCAAAAAGTACAAATTAACGTGACCACAGCAATTAAGCAGACCAGCGTGTCAGGCAGTGCACTTCTTTATAATGATATCACACTTCAAAGAGGCCTTGATGTCAGGTAAAAAAATTAGAGGTATGATGTTGGTTACAGCGAACTCCAGAATACGGTGTTGGGGAGTTTAGCAGTTTGCTGTCCTGCTGTCGTGCTGGAAATTTCTGGAAAAGGAAAATAAAGCACAGGTTCTGTGAAGACCATGGACAGCAATCCATTCACCTTCACGTTGGACCGGGTTGAGGCAAGGGACATGGGCTCGGCGCTCCCTCCGAGCCTTTTTGTGCCTGATTTCGGTTAGGTAGCTGGGTCGTAAAGCCTCGGGAGGGCTTGGTGCACGAGCAGTAGCCAGCCTGCTCAGCCACTGACGTCGCCTGCGTTCCCCAGCTAGGCTGCAGGTCTGCAGGCAGGGGTGGGCGTGTGAAGCCACCCGTGCTTTGGGGGCTGAAGCACCTGACTCTCAAAAGAGTAGTCATCAGCAGGGAGGACGCCTGATTCACAGGTAAATTGCTCTCTCTGCAGAGAGCTATCTCTGTCCAGGTGAGTCTTTTTGGATGATTAGGAGTGGGAACTGGCAGCACAGCGGGGGGCTGGGTGTGAGCTTATAAAGTGATGTGCAGGCAGCAGAGAGGAGGCAGCATGTGCACCTCCTTCCTTTGAGAGCTGTGGCAGTAGATCTGGGTTTCCAGCACCTCGGATGTGTGACTGCTCAGGTCAGTGAGTTTTGTTTCCCCCCCATCCCCCCACCCCTCCTGTGTCTCGAGGGAAGCTGGATGTAGTTTGAGTGATGTCTTGCACCATCCAGACACGGGGGATGATGTTTAGGCTGCAGTCTTTGAAGCTTGAAGTGTGCACTAGATATGCTGGAGATGTCGAGGTGTATGCTGCCCTTGCTGGAGGAAAAAGCAGGCGGGCTGTCCTGGCACCTTGGTCCCTGAGATAGAGCCCTGGGAACGTGTGTCTCAGCTGGGTGGCAACCAGGCTGCCCAGCAGTTTAGCTGCTGGAAAATCCTGAGTCTCAAAAGTCAGTCTTCACAACTAAAATGACTGCAAAATGCCTGGGGGTGTCTCAGGAAGGTTGTTATCACTGATCCACAGTGGGTCCTACTGACTGTGAAGAGCTTTCCAGAGCAAGCCACTGCTACCACCTGAAGATGAAGTCTACCCTTCATTGTGTTGCTCTTCTGTGGTCCCAGGTTTGAGCTGTAGCAGAAGAAAGTGCTGCTGGCAAAAACACTGTGTCTGTAACACACCATGCTGGTCTGACTTTCGAAATAACCACTGAAAGAAAAAGCTACAAGCTTTCCGCTTTCACCATCTTGCTCTGCCAACGTGGCCCTTCTTTAAGCATCAGCCCACAATGTTTAAAAACATGTCCATTAGTTTGTTAAATTATTGATAAGGCTTTTAGTACCTCCATAAGGTGAAGATGGATGGAGCTTAGGAGCAAGAGTCCCTTATGGCCGATCTGCAGTGTGTTTGCATTGTGCCCACTTTATTCCACAAAAGGTAATTTATTCTTTGCTTTTATTCTGTTCTGAGCCTCTGTTGAGCAAAGATTGGCAACTGTACAAGCTCTTTCTTCTCTTGACTTTGTGGATGCTGGAGCCTATGCATTTTATGACTGAAAGTGTCTGACATAACTGGAGTGAACACTGAAATTGCCCTGAACTTTGTGCGTATCCCTGTGCAGTACTCCAGAAACTTATAAGCAAGGTAATAAATCTTCTTTGGGTTTTCAGTCTGCTGACCTTCTCCCTCATCTCCCCCCCAAAAAACCCCAACACAAGCATATCCTTTGTAGTTTCGAGTTCAACTCCTCTAAATGTGGCAAGTGCTTCCTGCAGACTATTTTAAAATGATGAAAAGGAAAACGCTTATAGGAAATGTTGATAGAGAATGTCGTCTTGTCTCTGAAGTGTTTTTTGATAAGTGCTAAAGGGTCTGCCAATGACAGTTAATATTGTTGCAGCAATTTAGTATTGTTGCAGCAAATAAAGTATGCAAGTAAATCTACGTGTTCATCTTGGGTTTTTTTACATGTGAATTTGAAAGATATTTTTTAAATGTAGAAAGGTACTTATGGGATATGGATATTAGCTTATTTAAAGAGTTTCATTAGGCTGCTGTCCAATGCGAAAGATCCAATTGATCACTCTTTATGGAGCCAGAAGATCTTAGATAGCGCTCTTGACTTCTTTTGCTCCATTGATCTTTTTTTGAAGTGGAAAAGCTTGAGATACGACGCATTGTACATGACAGAAAACCATATCTAATTTTTTGCTGTCTGTCTCCAAATCAGTGGAGGCAAAAGGAGATGGGTTAACTGTTTGTTTACAGCATGGATGGACACAAAAATGTGTCTTCACGATGATGCGTGAATACATAGAAAATGCAATAGCTTAGAAACGTGCTGAGCTAGCACAATGCTGCCGCGTGCCTTGAGGCCGGCGCTGGGGTGCACGACGCTGCCGCACCGCTTTGCTGGGCTGTTTTGGTGGACACAAAAAGGCTTCGGAACCAGCCTCGAGGGCGAGAGTGAGGAAACCAGTGAAAACCAAGGGCCTTCCCCTCCTGCAGTGCTCTGAGCAAACTTGGTGAATAGAGGGGAAAGAGCCTTGTTTTCGTCCTTTCTATGACAAACAGTAAGCTACAGCACACAGTGACGCTAACCAGCAGGCAGCACTTCATCAAGGTAGGGATAATCCTTTTAGGAGGGAGGCAGGGTGCTGCTCTGCGCAACGGTGCGGTACGAAGGCAATAAATTGTTTCACATTCCTGAGGCTGGGGAGCGGGCTCTGGCTGCATTGTGCTACTCTTCGGGCTAAACTAGCATCAGCGATGTCTGTTACACAAATGCGCACGGAGTAAAATCCTTTCCTGTCACTACACAATCTATAGCCATGGGAAACGAGGTCGGTTGTGCGTTGTTTTGGCGCCGGTCGTGTTCCCCCATTGGTGCTGGAACACGGGTGCTTTGCAGGACGGCAGGCTTCGAATGATGCTGTAGTTTGTACCGATGTGGTATCTTATTAGCTTTGGCACTTTATCTCTCCCTCTGTCCCCGTCGCTGTGATCACTCATGTTGTGAGAGATACGAAGGGGAAAGAATGCTGAAGGTGTAGGTAGGCAAACTTCGTTTTCTGCTCGCTTTCTGCCATCCACCCTCTGATCCAGGTCTGTCGCTGCCTCCCTCTCATACCCTGTAGTATATCTTTCTCAAAATCACTTTCTCTTTTCTGCAGCCATGGTCCTTTTGTTACAGATATACTATTTTTAATTATTTTTTTTATCCCCTCATTTTATTGTAAGAAACATCTACAGATTTTATGTGTGGCTTTCAAAGACTTGCACACAAAAAAAAGAGAATTGAGAGATTTATGTTTTGCTGGTGGCAAACCGGAGGCACAGAGGCATGGTCTGATTTGCCAAGAATTAATGTCCTGTGGGGGAGCGTGCTGCTGGGCTGGTCTACCCTCCCGAGGGTGACCCACGCAGCACTTCGAGGAGCATCTTATCTGTATCTATATTAAATGGGAATGAACAGAGAGCTGTGGCACACAGACTATGGAAATTCAGATTTTTACTATTGTAATGGGCTTTTTTCTCCTGGTTTCTGTTGCCTGCTTTGTATTAACATTTCAGAGATGTCCACAGTGGTCTGCAATCTCTCTGTTCAAAAGAAAGAGGTGGGAGGAGAACAGCGATCTGAAATTTCTCAGACCACCTGGGCAGTTAATATGCCATTCTGGTTGATAAATCATATTATTTCCATTAGGCTGGGTGGGCAGGGGAACAGACAGGGTATTTTACACTTCCTTCACTGACAGAATCCAACGGAAGCTATATCCTGTGCCTGGCTATTTGCCAGCTGCTCTGCTCCTAAACCCTAATATTTGGTTACTGACTTATTAACAGACCTGAACTGGTTGCACCTAGGATATGAGATTGTGATGGTGCTGTCAGTCATTTACAAACACCATTTTACTAGCTGGTGCTTGTTTCCAGGGCTTTTTAAAATCAGTTATAGCCAGAAATTATAGAGGTACAGCGTATTCTCTATACGTAATGTTTGTATATGCGTGCTTGTGTTAATACATAAAATGAAATCTAGATTAGATAGTAGAGAAAAATAAAGGGTGTGTGTTAAAATTATTGGAATATAAACCACGCTAGATCTGCTTGAAGTGTCCTGAGACTGTGTTCTGTACTCGGAGTTAGTTGCTCCAGATGCACGGCCCTGTGCCCCTATTAACGCAGAACGCAGAGGTTTATTTCCTCCTGTAGGTGCCAAACTCAGTGCAGTCTTAAGTAAAAGCACTCGATTTTGGACGAAGGTCAGCTACCTCTCTCTGGAGGGCACTAGGATGCTAGGCTGTTCTAAGACTGGAAATCATATTTGTCTTTTTTGGGAGGATCGTCCCAGAGAAAAGCAAACCGCTGTAGATCCTGCCATGTGGATGTTGCCTTCAAGAGAAGTTTGCAGCAAGTGTTGAACTCCAGGGGGATGTTCAGACCGGCTGGGGGACCCGCATCGTGC